TCTCTAATCATGTTTAACACTTCATATTTATGCCCAGTCTGTTTTTATGATACTTCTCCCTGTTTTTCTTTTCAGGTCTTTCGTCTTCACTTTCAATCCAATTTATTTTATGTTTATCTCATTGACTTTATTCTATTCACATATTGCTATGTATACGATGCAAAACTTTTTCCCGAAAAGTCTATTTACGGAAAACATAAAAATATTTGTTGAAATTGAAACATGTAGATCTCGATAACATGCGAAAACTGCTAATGTTCCCTGAAAGTGAAGGAATATATATGTAGATACATACAGCAGTATGGTTTGTCTGTAATGGTACATTTCAAGTTTAGCTCTATTTTCTCTCTTGAAAGTGACGCTAAGATGAGACAAGTAGGATATGTAATAATGAATAAATAGGTATTCTATACAATTAGGCTCTGCTCTCAAAAACTGTTTAGCGACTTTTAACCCCACGACCTCCATTCATGTTTTGGAAAAAGAAACCGATTAATTACGAGATGTTAGGTGGTTATGGAGCTTATTTCCATCGTTTCTGCCAAGCGTTTCTGATAATTCAGGCTCATTTTCACTCTCCCTACTATCCCAGTGTGTCATTGATAATTTAACAGTCTGACGGTCGTCTACTCCGCCATCAAAATTATCCAACACTTATCAGCAAAACGTCATCTCTGCAGTCATTCATTCCTAGGTCCGTACTGCCGTCATCATTTAACTTTAACGTTTTTGATCTAGAGTTAGAATGTGATGCTGCTTCTCTAACTCCAAAACCTTGATGAATTCGACTACTACTACAATCAACAACAGATGGACAAATCACAAGATTCTTTTCAGTCGAACTATGTAATAAAATTATTACAACTATTCTGAGCTAAAAATTACCAATGTTTACTGCAAAAACTATTACAATCATATTTTCTAATACTGATAGTGGTAAATAAATCATTGTAAAAGGATAATTAGTAAAATTTTCACCGTATTTTCTCCGAAGTTCGGTTGAATCTGAGAGCCATGGTTCTACTTTATGAAAATGATTTACTTTATTGTACCGCAATGACACTTAAACTGTTTGATCTATTAATGGGTAAAATAGATATCAGCTATACTTAAACTGTATTCTGACATATTTAATACTGCCTATAACGAAGAAGCGATGGTTGCTTGTTGCTTGCTTAAAAGTTCGTAATAAACTAATATTCCAAGCATGAAATTTCATAAAAACTAAGCTAGTCAATGTGATATCATAGTTTGACGTAATGTAGGCGTATCCAAATAGTCTGAAACACGTTCAATTTCATCTATTTTGTCAGATTAATTTGAGATCAGGGAAGCTAAGAATCCAATGCATAATTGTTAATCGAGTACAAATATGGCTCATAGCGTAGAAATGAGAAGTTTTCAAAGAGCATGTTGTTATTGCACCTATGAAATTAGGCATGCACCGACCTCAATTAAAAAGCGAACAATCGATCGTCGATTATTCGAAATCGAAAAACTCGAAACTTCGATTATTTTCGATTCCGAATAATCGTGGATCGGTTCTTCGATTTTTAATCGAGATCAGTGCACGGCTGTATGAAATCAAGCTGATAGCACTTTCAAATTTTCAACCATACTCATGACATTTCAGGTGAAATATTAGTTTTAGTCCTACGTAATCATATGTCATTTGTTATATTTAAAGAGTGAATAAGACAAATAAGGTTGGAGAAAGGTTTATTGAAATGCGTTGGTAATTTCTAGTAAAGTTAATGAGCGAAGTTGGCGGGATTGATTCAACGAAAATGACGATAAGAATGCTTCGATTTGTTGACAAGTTTACGTTTTTATGTTATAGGTGTATAAGAGTTTTTTATCTTTTCTTGCCGAATCAATAAGTATTTTTATTATTATAAATAGTCGGTTTACAGTATACTTTTTATGTCGCGCTTGGACAGACTCGAAGGGACTTCAACTTCATAACGAGACCACCATTTTCCAAATCACGTAATAGAGAAGGGGAACTTTCGCATACTTTTAGCAATAAAAAGAAACGATTAATTTTTTAATGCAGTTCAACTTCAAATGTATGTGTATTAAAAGAAAAGACTGTTCGCAGACTAACATTGTGTAGTGTGCGAACAGTCTTTTCTGTTATACAGAAGCCTATTTCATCCATAATTCCTCTAAGAAAGTTTGACGGACTGGGTATTTATATCGACTGATACAGTTGAACAAGAGTAACTTTCAACGTGTTACCAGTTCATGTTCATATTTCTATTGTTAAAGTAGATGTGAATCATCGTCTAAAATAAAATTCTTTTCCTTCTCACGATCATAGTCAAAACGATATTCTAACAATATTCGAAAGTGACTGTTCATATCATGATGTCAGAAAAAAAAGCAAAATTCATGAGAACGAGAAGAAAACAGGCAAACGGTGTTTTGTATCTCTTTCTGATTCGAAAAAGTACTTTTGTGTATTAGTCGATATAAATACCTAGTCCGTCAAACCTTCTTAATAGAAGTATATATGAAAGACGCTATTGTATGAATTGAGCAAACTGTTGACACTGTGTATATGATTTAATGAGCCGTGTACTATAATTTTCCTGTTCGTTGAGGTAAGTAAGCCGGGTTTACACTTCGACGCAATGTTTACCAAATTCGAAGTAAATTAGAAGTAGTTCGGGGTAAAGAAAAAAGCTTTACAGTAGTCGAAAGTGCGAAGCGCACTTGAGTAAAAGGGAGGGTTGGGAAATTCCTTTTTGTGCACGCTTTAAATCACCTTTTTTAGGATTGATTGTTGGTTATACATAAGTTGAATGAATCGGAGGTTTTTATTCATACAGAAAAAAATTGAAATAATAAAGTAATAGAGAGAATAAACATTTCTTCGATAATTTGACGAAAAGGACACCGCCGGTTTTCAAAAACAAAAGACACCTATAATGCCAGGCACAGCTAATGGCCATCTTGTCATTATTATTTATGTCGTTTTATCAATATTTATCTTTTAGTGAACGAAATGGTAGTAACATTGTTTGAACAGTTGTGTAATGACCTGTTCTGGGATATTTTCGATTACCTTGAATTGGTGGATATCTATGTTTCTTTCTATGGGTTAAACTGTCGAATCAATTCAAAAATACATTCCATTCCATCTCTACACCTTGATCATCGAGCATTTGTATCATCAAAATTTGCCAACCACTTAGCTACTATAGTCGATCGTGTTGTTTCATTAAATGTTATTGGTGCTACTGATTCACTATCATTGACACGTTTCTATGTACTTCAGTCACTTACAATCAGTGACATGCAACATAAAGATTTAATAATTATAATGTTGGACATTTATGAGTCGAATACGTTGAAATCACTAACTGTGTCATTGAATTATTCAGAGCCAGATGATATTGAAGATATATATAGTATGATTATATGTAATAGGCTTCCAAAAACGTTGAAAACATCTCAAATAATTAATAATATTAAAGCAATAGAATTAATAACATTTGGGAAGGTATCGACCGTTTGTCAATCGATCGAACATCTATACCTAAAATCATGTTTTACGAATTGTTCGAGTACCACTACTTTATTTCGACTATTCTCATATATGCCAAATTTAAAATATGCTGAAATTCTTCCGTTTTTAAATTGTAATATGAGTTCACGGGATAAAATCAATCCGCAATCACTACTGATGACAAGCATAAAAGCGTTTCATAGCACTTGCGTTGTATTTTCAATAGACTATATCGATCTTCTTCTCTCTATCATGCCGTCTTTAATAGTATTACGTCTAATATGTTATTCGAATGATAAAAATATAATCGATGCTTGGCAATGGGAACAAATAATATTAAGACGAATACCCCTATTAAAAAAGCTCATTTTAGATATTAATACGCAATGTCATACCACATCAGATGATCTCCGTAAAGATGAAGGATTTAGAACAGATTTTTGGTTGAATCGGAACTGGTTTGTCTCTTTACAAGTGGCACGACATATGCTTCGATTATTTGTATGGACGTCAAACCAAGATTGCGACAGAAGTGGTAGAGATGAGACTAATTTCTGTAGTAGTTAATGTACAGAAAGGATAGTCTTGTAGCTGCATTATTATGAGGACTCGTCTGTTTCGTACATAATGTATATGGTCTCTTGGTTCTCATTTCAGTGTTTTGATTTTACGTTTTGCTGAATGGGAATTGAAGAACTTTCTTATTTTATTGTTGAGAACTTCTTGTATTTGTTAAACGGAATGTTTTTGCTGATGATTGATATATTGATGTAATAAATGAGTATTCTAGCGACTAGACATGATGGAAAGAATATCATCGACTTGTAATTAGAAAATAAATTATAGCCTGCAAGATGTGCTCAAATTGCACTTGCTAGTGGAAGTTCTCTCCGGTTCTGGATTTTGTGTCATTGATGAAATCGTGGATCTAAGGAACCAGAAATGTCAAAAATTTTGGAAATTAATACATTTGGGGTACTAATAAAAAGATTAATGAACATTCGATAATTGATCGTTAGTAGCCGGTAATCGTGTTTCTTTCTAGTTACGTTTTGTTCTAGATGAGTCATCTAGGATGACTGTCCGTAGGGCAGAGCATCTCAGAATAAACAACGCTGACTAGATAAATCCGTAGTTGATCGATCATCTTCCTTACATTAACAATACAATAACAATATGATACAAATATTTGTTGTACAATTTGATCTAATGCTTGTTTACTCATCAATTCAGTTATCTCGTTCAGAATTTTATAATCTGTAAACTGGACTTCATTTTTCTTCTTAATTGCAATAATTCTATAAAATTACTTTTGTTATTTGATTTCGCACTTTCCGTTCTGTGAACGATTCATCTTACAAAATTTTTAGTTGAATGATACCATTCACAGGTTCCTATGATCTTTGAAAAAAGACATGATCGAAAAAAATAATAAAAGTTAGAAAGCTCAAAATATGTCCA